AAGCTTTCACACACAGAAGCTTTTACACAAAGAAGTCTTTACACAAAGTGGTTTTTACACACAGCAACTTTTACACGCAAAAGCTTTTACACAGAGAAGCCTTCAGCCAGAGGAGCTTTTACACACAAAAGCGTTTACACACAGCAAGCTTTTACACACACAGGGGCTTTTACACAAAGAAGTCCTTACACAAAGGAGCTTTTTACACACAGAAGGTTTTACACAGAGAAGTCTTTACCCTAAGGAGCTTTTGCACACAAACGTCTAGGAGCTTTTTCACACAAAACTTTTTACACGAAGAAGGCCTGACAGAGAGGGTTTTTACACACAGACGTGTTTGCACACAGAAGCTTTTTTTACACAGAGGAGCTTTTACACACAAAAGCATTTACACACAAAAGCATTTACACACACAGGGGCTTTTACACAGAGAAGTCTTTACACAAAGGAGCTTTTTACACACAGAAGGTTTTACACAGAGAAGTCTTTACTCCAAGGAGCTTTTGCACACAAACGTCTAGGAGCCTTTACACACAGAAGCTGTTACACAAAGAAGTCTTTACACAGATATATAGCTTTCACACACAGACGCGTTTACACACAGAGGCTTTTACACAGAGAAGCCTTTACACTTTACACAGAGAGTTTTTACACACCGAAGCTTTTACACACAGTGAAATCTTTACACAGACATTTCACACAGAGAAGCTTTCACACATAGAAGCTTTTACACAAAGAAGTCTTTACACAAAGTGGTTTTTACACACAGAAACTTTTACACACAAAAGCTTTTACACAGAGAAGTCTTTGCACAGAGGCGTCTTGACATGAAGTCACAAGTTGAAATTGGCAGCAGTTCTTCGGGAAAAACCCTTGGCAGGAGCTTTCGGGCACTCACTTGCTCCCCAAAAAAGCCGTCTATTTCCAACAAAGTTCCTGTTCTTTTTTTTTCAAAAAACGTAAGGAATATATTTCTGAAGCAGGTCCCCATCCAAAAGCTTTCCAGCCCCCACACTGCGATGAAATGGAGGGCCGAGAAATCCGGCGGAGCCGACGAGGGGCGTTAGCCCTTAAATTCGGCTCCGCCGGCTCCCCACGAGTGGCTTGCCCTACGAGCGTCCCAGAGCGACTAGAGCTCTAGGTGAGGCGCGCCGCCGACCCTCCGACGCCGGGCCCCGAAAAACACCAAAAATCCTTCAGGAGGGTGGGGGAGAGCTTTTTGGCCGGAATCCGGGTCGCTCATAAGCGTCTCCAAGAGCATTCCCCCCCCCCCGTTTTGAGGGTACCTAAAATCGGAAAAAAGCGCCGTTTTGACACATTTTTCGGACGATTTTTCGCTTTTCGAAAGTCACAAAATGCTGTAAATTACAGCATTTTTGCGTTTTAACGTCTTTTGCGGGAGCCATGCAAAAACGCAGAAAATGCTGTAAATACCAATACTTTTTGGACCCAAGATGCACAAAACACCGCAAATACCAGTGTTTTTGAAAGCCAAGCAAAAAAACACTGTAAATTACAGCATTTTTGGCGGGTTGATCGCAAAAACTGCTGGTATTCACAATGTTTTTGCAATTTCAAGAAAACGTGGAAGGCACGAAACACTGTAAATAGCGGTGTTTTGGCCACTTTTGGACGCCGAAACGCTGGTATTTACGCAGTTTTTTGCCCGTGGCGGCGCCAAACCCCTGTAAATTACAGCATTTTCTTCCCTTTCTGAACCGATTTTTTGCCTTGATGAACGCAAAAAACGTTGGTATTTACGCGTTTTTCAAAAAATCGAAGATCGTGACGTGAACGAAACCCTGCAAATAACAGTGTTTTAGCCACTTTCGGGGACTAAAACTGTGGTATTTACGCGGGTTCTTGCCATCTGACAGCGCAAAATGTTGTAAATTACAGCACTCTGTGCCCTGTTTATGTTCAATTTTTTAACCTGCGATGCTTTCACCTGTTCTTTGCATTCTTCCACAAGAAACAATGTTGCAGATTGAAACTGGACGACAGCGTGACCCGAAAGAAAGCTGGATGGAGGAGTCGCACAGAAGCTTTTACACATACAGGGGCTTTTACACAGAGAAGTCTTTACACAAAGGAGCTTTTTACACACAGAGGGTTTTACACAGAGAAGTCTTTACTCTAAGGAGCTTTTGCACACAAACATCTAGGAGCCTTTACACACAGAACTTTTTACACGAAAAAGGCCTGACAGAGAGAGTTTTTACACACAGACGCGTTTGCACATAGAAGCTTTTACACAGAGAAGCCTTTACACAGAGGAGCTTTTACACACAAAAGCATTTGCACACAGCAAGCTTTTACACACACAGGGGCTTTTACACAGAGAAGCCTTTACACAAAGGAGCTTTTTACACACAGAGGGTTTTACACAGAGAAGTCTTTACTCTAAGGAGCTTTTGCACACAAACGTCTAGGAGCTTTTTCACACAGAACTTTTTACACGAAGAAGGCCTGACAGAGAGAGTTTTTACACACAGACGCGTTTGCACACAGAAGCTTTTACACAGAGAAGCCTTCACCCAGAGGAGCTTTTACACACAAAAGCATTTACACACAGCAAGCTTTTACACACACAGGGGCTTTTACACAGAGAAGTCCTTACACAAAGGAGCTTATTACACACAGAAGGTTTTACACAGAGAAGTCTTTACTCCAAGGAGCTTTTGCACACAAACGTCTAGGAGCTTTTTCACACAGAACTTTTTACACGAAGAAGGCCTGACAGAGAGAGTTTTTACACACAGACGCGTTTGCACACAGAAGCTTTTACACAGAGAAGCCTTTACACAGAGGAGCTTTTACACACAAAAGCATTTGCACACAGCAAGCTTTTACACACACAGGGGCTTTTACACAGAGAAGCCTTTACACAAAGGAGCTTTTTACACACAGAGGGTTTTACACAGAGAAGTCTTTACTCTAAGGAGCTTTTGCACACAAACGTCTAGGAGCTTTTTCACACAGAACTTTTTACACGAAGAAGGCCTGACAGAGAGAGTTTTTACACACAGACGCGTTTGCACACAGAAGCTTTTACACAGAGAAGCCTTCACCCAGAGGAGCTTTTACACACAAAAGCATTTACACACAGCAAGCTTTTACACACACAGGGGCTTTTACACAGAGAAGTCCTTACACAAAGGAGCTTTTTACACACAGAAGGTTTTACACAGAGAAGTCTTTACTCTAAGGAGCTTTTGCACACAAACGTCTAGGAGCCTTTACACACAGAAGCTGTTACACAAAGAAGTCTTTACACAGATATATAGCTTTCACACACAGACGCGTTTACACACAGAAGCTTTTACACAGAGAAGCCTTTACACTTTACACAGAAAGTTTTTACACACGGAAGCTTTTACACACAGTGAAATCTTTACACAGACGTTTCACACAGAGAAGCTTTCACACACAGAAGCTTTTACACAAAGAAGCCTTTACACAAAGTGGTTTTTACACACAGAAACTTTTACACACAAAAGCTTTTACACAGAGAAGTCTTTGCACAGAGGCGCCTTTACACGAAGTAACAAGTTGAAATTGGCAGCAGTTCTTCGGGAAAAACCCTTGGCAGGAGCTTTCGGGAACTCACTTGCTCCCCAAAAAAGCCGTCTATTTCCAACAAAGTTCCTATTCGATGAACTTTTTTCAAAAAACATAAGGACTATATTTCTGAAGCAGGTCCCCATCCAAAAGCTTTCAAGCCCACACTGCGATGAAATGGAGGGTCGAGAAATCCGGCGGAGCCGACGAGGGGCGTCAGCCCTTAATAAGTCATTCAGCTAGCATAGTTAGCTGTCCCCCACCTGATTCAGTAAGAATGGCGGCAGAGCGGACAACGCTGTGCTCTTCAGCACCTTCCTGCAGGTGGAGCCAAGACCAGTTGGTCCGCTGATCTTTGGTCCAGCTGAGCCAGCTATAACCGGCTGGAGAAATCCATCTGAGAACGGCCAGAAGCCGCGGCAGAATGTCTTAAGAACACAGATTGCAGCAAGACATGGGATGCTTTTGACCCGTGACTAGTTCAAGCCAAATCATCAACAAGCAGAACAAGCTCTCAAACAAGATTTTTCGGAAATTGTTCCAAACTCTTTGACTGCAGTTTCCGGATCAAAGTAAGTATGCAAATAGGATGTGTTCGATCCTATTTCAGTGCTTCCGGATGTCAATTTGTCTCGGTGCTTCGATCCGTCCCTCTGAGTGCTGCCTGGACTTGGGGGCTTCTGCCCGATGAAGGAATGCCTTGATTCGCATTCATCATTTTTTACGGGATACGGGGATGCTCCATGATGCTCCTAGGCATTCCGAAAGAATGCCCCAAAACATGTCACACATTCTCCTAACAAGGCACATGTTGAGTACCATGTCGCGTCTGCACATTAGGTTTTCTGAGCCAGTGGCATGAGGCTTGGGCAGCACGCCAGAGTCTTCAAGCAGACCCTGAAACGGAAGCACATCGGCAACAAAAAAGGTTCTTACTGGGTACCCACTATGGACACATGAGCCATCATCCTCGGATGCGATATGGACTTTTTACTGGAGTTCACTCTGCACGCAGGTTGCTTCCAGCTTCTTCTCTCCTGAGACTATGAAGGTTTGCCTCTGACTTTGCGCATGGGCACTGGCTTACATGATCACACTTCTATTCATGGAAAAGCGGGGAACATCCAGACACACATTAAATAAGCATAATTTTTAATAATTAAGCTATATCCTGGAGCGCCGAAGCAAAGCTATCAAACTTCAAACTAGTCTCCAACCTTGGGATGGTTTCATCAACCTCAGGTTGAGGAGTCCCACTGTGGTCTCTCAGATTGCAGAACCCCTGCACTGCGAATCTGATCAGCCAGCTGAAGGCCCCTGGCCCTTTGGCGAGAGGAACAAATTGCTGAAATATGCTGAAACGAGAAACGACTGTGCAACGACTGTGCAATCAATACAGATCAGTTTGCCATGCAACGACTCTGTTGGCCGTGCCGTGGTCACTCCTCATCCGCTGCCTTCTCTTTCGATATAGATATGGAAAGAGGGCAAATCGAAAGCGTGATCTCTCCTTGGCAGAGAGCAAAAGGGCCTGAATGCCAACCGTTTTTTGCTCGAACTCAGAGATATGCCATCATATGCCATCAAGAACAGCTGAGATTTCTGGAACGCTCTAAGGGTACTCTAAGCCCCAGTCCAAAGACCTCAATCCTGGGGAAGTGCAAGACAGCTTCTCCAGATGCACGCTGGGAGCGGCTCCCATCCACTGAGCAAACATAGCCTTGGTAGCATGGTTTTGAACTTCAATGGCCCTCGACATCAGAAGCTGAGAAAATGTTGCACCATCACTTAGTGGGCTAAGGCAACTGCTGCGGTCCTGCCAGGTCATGCAATTCTAGGACTCAAATGCCACTATGCCTTTGGTGGTTTTTGCAGGTGTGGTCAGTGTTTTCCTTGCAGTTATTGCAGACTAATGTGACACCACTAGTCACTAACTAGTCACTACATCTTGTACACTCTTCCAATTGAGCTCCTCCAAACCTTGAAGCGGGAAAACCCACAAGGAAACCTCGGCTTTGTGGATCTTTCTTGTGGAGACACGTGCCAATGCTGCCAGCACCACAGATATGCCCCACAGCTCGTCCTATAAACGTCCTATGCCAAGCTGCATGGTTCTTCGGCGCAGCAGTATGCCCGCCAGGAAAAAAGGTTAGGCGCAAATGAACTGCCGAGCTCTCGTGGGACTGGACCCTGAGGGCCAAACATCGGAATTGGCATGATTGCATAACAAACAACTAAGCCAAGAAAATAATTTGACAATTCAGCCGCGCGTGCAGAAGAGCATCACATCACTTGCACCAATTGAAAAAATGCCTATACCTCAAGCAAGCAAATAAAATGCAACGCAGGAGTGGTCCTTGCTTCTTCCACGAAGGGCACACCCATTGCATATGGCATACGGCCTGCAAAAGCTGAAGAAGCAAACACAAACAAGCACGATCAGCAAGCATATGTCTAAAGCTAAGCTCCGAAATTCGAAGCTTTCAAAGGAGCCCCACAAATGAAAGAAAAAAAAGAACATACTTGGCATCAAAATGCAATGTACGATAGGATAGGATAGGACCCTGTAGGATAGATGGGATAGGTATATAGATTGATAAGATAGGTAGGTAGTAGGTAGGCAGATAAGGTAGGTATATAGGTAGGTCGGTCGGTCCGTGGGTCGGTCGGTCAGTGGATGGATGGACGGATGGATGGATGGGTGGATGGTCGATGTAATACATCTGCGTATCGTACAGGATGGTGCCCCCCAGTTATAAGTGTGTTTATAAACCCCATTAACTATAGTTATATCTGCCATAAACCATAGTTATGGGAGTTATAAACCAACTTAGCTAACTATGGGGCACCACCTTGTATAGATGATCGCTTCCCAAATGCCCTGTGGCCTAAAGCATCTCGCAGGTCCCAGGAGACATGGCTCCCTTCACATATTGGTGAAGGGATGATGCTGCAGTGGAGCACCTGAACCAAGGACGACACAGCACGACCGTCCACAGAAAGTGCCACCCGTACTCAATCTGCAACGCTCACGTGTTCAACTCGGATCCCAGTCCTTTGACAATTTGGGGTGGATATGGGTCTATAGGGTCTTCTTATTGGATGGCAAACGTTGCACAACATTGCCATCCTCACGGATCACTCGTTCTTTCTCTGCTGCGCTGGATCCAGCTGGTTGTGTCTTGAATTCATTTGGCACTAGTGACTAGTGGAGCCGAGTGCAACACGAGATTGGATTTGTATCCAGGCAGGCAGATCTAAATGCTGGCTACCGTTTTTGGCACACATGTTCATGCTGGCCAACACTGGGTTGGTTTGGATTATTGGAGCTTGCAGTTTTGCAATCCAATTGCCATGCGGCTGATGATCAGCTGATGCCAAGGTGGGCTGGCCCGTTGGAATCATGTTCAAACTTCTAGGCAAATTCTATCAAGAGCCAAGAGTTCTCGAGAAGAGTTCAGTCCATCTTCTATGTTCAACATTTTTGAACACTGGTTGGACAAGGGCCAGCATTTTGTGCCGGCACCTCAGGCTCGTAGTCTCAGACTGAACCACGGCGCCTTTGCAAAATTCGGGACTGAATTGGCTTCAGCATTCCATCAAGTGTCCTTGCATTCTTAGGGGTATCTCTTGCAGCCTCTTCAAGAGGTGCAAGAACTGGGCGGTTTGATTCTCTGATGGAATCAATCTCTAGTAAGCTTTTCTCGCTGCATCCAAAAAGGTGCGTTTCATAGGACATGCAGCTCAGCCGGCTGTCTTTTCTTCGCCTCAGACTTAGACCATCAAATCTTGAAACAAGAATAAACACAAAAAAAAATACTTTGGCGGAGAGATGCCAACAGCATTCGGCAAAAGGATCACTTCAGAACACCATGGAAACCATCACTTTAGAACACTGCCGTTTTTCATCACTTCAGAACACCATATCAGCCATCACTGCTGAACGCAGCCCAAAAACATGGCATCATGGCTACTGACAGGCAAAGCACTTTGGGAGGTTACGCGTTCTAAAGCGATGTGTGTATATACTAAACTAAGGCGCCATTTAGGGATTGTTTCCCTACATCATGTTTTCAACTGTAACTAGTCTCTTGCCTTGGGAGTCCTTATGCTCGACTAGCCATTTAGGGTTTATTTGGGGGAGGGGTGTGTGATTTTGATGAAGTTGATGTTGAGAAAGTTGTTGTGGCTGCTGATGATGATGATGATGATGATGATGCATGTGATGTAGATGAAGTGGATATAGATGATGTAGAGGATGTATGTGGTGTAGATATGTGTAGATATGTGTAGATATTTGTAGATATGTCAGATATGTGTAGATGTGTGTAGATATGTGTAGATATGTGTAGATATGATATAGATGATGTAGATGATGTAGATGATGTAGATGATGTAGTGATGTAGATGATGTAGATGATGTAAAGGATGGAGAAGAGATGTACCAGATGCGGTGCTGTTTGCAATGTAGATGAAGTTGATGTAGATCATCTAGCTGACTGAGGATCATCTTCCGCGTTCGAAAGCGATGGTTTTCCGCGTTTTCTAAGCGATGGTTTTCTGCGCGTTCTAAAGCGAGGGCCTTACCGCATATGCAGACTTGGGGGATTATAGAAGACAAAGAAGCCCACTCACTTTCGAGATCATTCAAGCATATCAGGGCTGCCCGACGTCTCCTGTGGATGAAGCGCGATGAAGCTCGACGAAGATCAAGGCCCTTTCAATATACTGACACTGACTTGTTTGTGCTATAAAAAGTCAGCTACCACCAGTCCAAGGTGTATGGAAGGGCTCGATTGCAGCCGAGGAACAGCTTTGGTGACTCAGGGCTGTGCTTCCTGGGTTGGATGGGTTATCTCGACATGTTTTGTATGCATCCTAATATGTGTATATTTTGTTTAAAAAAACATATACATATTATATATAACACACACATATTCACATATTATAACTCCATATATATATATACATACAATAATAAATCAATACATATATATACATATATATATACATATATATATAGTGATATATTATTAATCATTTATCTAATTTCATGTTTTTCATAGTTCACACATGTTCACCCTCCGTAGTTCACTTGTCGTCCCGAGCATCAGAAGCTCTGAGGACAAAAGCCCTAAGAGGTGGTCGACTTCCTGCACCGAGGCATCGCTGTTCCTCAACGCTGCCCTGGCACAATTGATGGCATGGTCCTGGCCACACCACTGATGCCTCAGTTCACTCAGCTCATAAAAATCTAGAAAATCAAAAAAAAAAACATATCTATACGTCTATACATATCTAATCTACATCGATCATTATCAATCGTTATCAATCGTTATCAATCTATATTCAGAATGATTCAGAATCATTCACGGTTTTGGTTCGTTTGGTTGACTTGCAAATCACAAGTTTCATAGTTGTTGCAAGTTGTTGGCAAACCTAGGATTTCCCCGAAGCGTCAGCGAGTCAAGCAGTCAAGATGTTCAAATACGAGTAGCTCTCCCCGGAGGGAACAGCTAAGAAAATGCATGAATGTTCCCATCTGTGTCTGCACCCCCGACAGCGCTGATGTGCAAGCGGTTGTGCCAGCAGTGGCCACACCCCCATTCTATTAAGCGGCACACCCTATGTCCAACCCCAGAAATCATAAGACTCGCAATAGCTTTACATCCTTTCGGCATATTTCAGCAAGTCACCCGAGTGTCACGTTGGATGTCTCGATCTGCCAAGCAGTGCGGCATAGTGACAGCAGCTCCTCAGGGTCTGATCGATGCCAGGTCGCGGCTTCGCAGCTTTCGGCACCATCTTCACCCCACCAGGCGCGTTGCCCAGAGGGTGAGCGGCGCAAGCAACTAGGTTCAGGGATCCGCTTGGCGGTCCTCAACGTGCGACGCGTACAATGCGGGTAGGGGCCGTTCAGTGTGTGCATGTGTGTGTAAGATTATGCAAGAGGTTTGACGGTTTGACCTAGTTGCATATCATTATATAAATATCTTGGATCAACGAAAAACTATCTTCATCGTTCATCATTCTTCATCTGCTTGTGTTGGGGGCACAAGTGGCCGTATATGACACAGGTGATCTGATATGTGACAGTATGATATGATGTAGATTGAGATGATGATGCAGTATGGTGTGATGCAATGATATGATGAGACATGACGCACTAGAGACTATAGTGACTATAGATACTATACACTATAGCCGGTACATGTCCAATATCGTCACATATTGTCATGCACGTGGCCACTGTATGAAATTGGCTGAGAGCCTGGGTGAAGTGAGCAGTGCCGGTAAGGGCGTTCGCCAAGCCAGCATCGATGCGCCGTAGTCGACGCTTTCCACTACCCGGCCGTGTGGCATCAAAGCTAAGCATGATGCAACACAATCCGCATGGGAGACCAAAAGAAAATTCCGACGTGCCTGGCAGAGATTGTCGGGCCAGGACACACTTCAAACGGTATGCTGGCAGCAGACTTTCCAGGTCCACACTTCCAAATGGTGAGTGTGACAGCTCCCTGTTGCTTGCGTGTTTGGTTGTCTGGATTGCAGCACGAGGCATCTCATGCATGCATAACGTATTCATGAGTCCCTGCACAGCTGCACGCCGAAACCAGACCTTATGTGAAAACATGTGAAAAGTGTGACAGTTTTCTGTATCATAGGAGTGCGACCCACCATTCCCACACATGCAAATGGCATCAATGACACGGTTTGTGGTTTGAGACTGCCCGAAAGCGAGGAGTCATTAACAAGTACAACATGCATGTTGTTTACAGGGAAGAACAATGAAGAAAAATGCCAAGCACAGGATGACTTCTAGAAGGGGCTTGGGGAAGTCAATTACCAAGCTCAGTGGCGCTCATTCCATCTTATTCCATCTTATATCAGTCTTCCCAGGTCACGCCGCGGTCACGCCGCGGTCACGCCTTTGCTCCACGACTGATATAGACCAAAAGCCGTTCTGCAAAGCGACGACGAGCCATTGCCAATGTCTCAGGCCAGTTTGGCCAAACCCCTACCGTGGACACAGGCACAGGAGAGCTCGGTGACAAACCCTTGAGATGTTCCTCGGCAGGAAAAAAAACTGAAAACAAGTGGTGAATCTTGTGGGGAAAAAAGTGTAAAAGAGGTGCCTTGTATAAGTATCCTTGGCCTTAGGAACTCATAGGCAAACAAACAAAATACAAAACAAAACACAATATAAGTACTAAATTATATATTATATTATTCATATACCCCCCCAAAAAAATAACTCCCTCGCTCTTTCTCGCTTTCTCTGACGCTATGTGTTTGCTTTTTCGGCATGGCCAAGCTGCTTCAACCTCGCAGCTGCTCCGAATGATGCGGCCAGGCTCCTCTCCGAAGATCTCCGGGCCATAGACTTCACCGAGACCCAAATCGACCATCAGCCGGGTCCGGTTGCCCAAAGTCGAACAAATGGCAGCAGCTGTCTCCACACAGCGCAAGTACGGAGAAGTCACCACCACCTGCCACACGAGACCATCCAAAGCGATCCAAAGCGTCAATGAAATGGTCATAGAAAAAATACGGCTTCTGTTATTCTGCGTAACCTATACACATGACAAAATGATTCTCCCTTCCCATATTAGGCCCATATTGCGAGAAGTCTGATTCCATTAACCAGGTGAACCTAGTGACCACGTATAAGAACGACAGGGAAAATAGAGAGATCAAGAGTGAGAGGGAAAGCAAACAATAAACCAGCGAAGCCATTGCAGAAGGTTCAGAAATCAATGGTTTACGGTATGTATGTATGTATGTATGTATATATATATATATTTGTGTCGGCGCCTTGTGGGCTTATCTTAGAAATGTTAAATCTTGAAAAAATGCAGCATGTACTGTAATGCAAAAAAAATGGATCTGAAAAGTGCAAACAAAAAGCAACTGCAGAAAGAAAATGCAAAAAAAAGGAAATCAAAAATGCACAAAAAATGCAAATGCAAAAACGCAATGCAAAACAAATATAAATCAAAATAATATATATACTGTAAGTTAAAAAATGCAAATTGCCGAAAATGGTTTTGGACACCCGCTTGATTCACATTTAGGGAGCGTGCAGGATATGCAGTCTCGGTTGCCTGGTTTTCATGCATTCAGGTTCTTGAATTTGCCTCACATGCAATATGTGCAAGAATGAGTTTCAGTTCAGTTTGGGTTTCTGTCCCTGCATCAACACCCCAATGGGCACATAAATTTTCAGGAAAGGGTTGGTGGTTGGCACAGCCCCCCAGCCCAAGTCCCAAACGCTGCTTTTCGGGAAAGTGGTGGTCCATTTCCCAGGGGATGACCCTACCGAGGGCCCTTTTGTTTTTTGTTTTTTGTTTGCTTTTTTATTGTTTTTGTTTGCTTTTTTATTGTTTTTGTTTGCATATTTTTTGCATTTTATCTCAGTTTTTTGCGATTTCTTTAAGAAAGTATCCAGTTTTGGAGGTCCCCAATTCGGATCGGGGACCTTCCCTTTCGGCTGGTCACCTGTCCACTTGGCAGGCGTGAGCCTCAACATTGGGCGTTCTTCTTCGGCTTCACGGGTTCACCTCAGACCTCCCTTTTCAAGTTTAATGTTTCCTTTGTCTTCTGCGCAGGTTTTACTACCTTGTCCAGGCTAATTTGTTGTTTCCATGTGTGCTGCATTTGGCACGTTCCCTTTTCCCTGTTTGCATTTCATCGGTCTATATTCTCCACATATGATGTCGCCCCCTTCCAACTTGCATTGGTTCCTTCCATGTATTCTTCATTTGTCAAATGTGCCCCCTTCCAAGTTGCATTTGCTCTTTCTATTCTTCCTCCATTTGCAATTTTTGCATCTTTTCAACTTGCATTTTGCTTTCCCATTTTTTCTGCAATTGTCATGTGTGCCTCTTTCTGATTTGCATTTTCCAAATCCATTTTTTTCGCATTGTTTCTCCATTTTTTCAAGATGTAAACATCCTAGAACAAGCGCAATGCGACAGCACAAATATATATTATATATATATATCAGCTACCTGTAGCACATTTTCCATATATGCCTTTCCATGGCGCACCGTGCTGAACATTGCTAAAGGCTCAACCTGCTCCGGCTCCCACAATGTTCATCAACGTTCTGCAGTTGCATCTTCCATCTTTCTATGAGTTGTGGAATTCCCATCAATAATTCTTCCAGCACTTCCCCCTCAAGTTCCTCCCAGCGCCTGTATTTGACTTCCTGGTTTGGATTCCACGAACTTGGCAATGCGCTCAGCAACATCGGTCGCTTCAGCACGACCAGAATCCGACAATGGCGGGTCGAGTGGGTGCTTTTCAAAGTCGCTGCTTTGGACCCACGCCCTCCTGAAAGCCCAAAACTGGGGAAAGGAAAGGCACCCTTGGACAGTGGCGTTGGGGATGCTACTGGAAACTGATACGCTACAGATTCTACAGATCTTGGATTGCATGTCACATCATATCAGCATAGATCTTTGGTATCTCATGGCTTGGCAACCAAATACAACATGATACAACCAGGTACAACAACCGCATGCAACATCATGTAACATAACAAGAAAATTAAAAAGCCGTCTGAAGTAAATTCTCAGGTGTCCCTTTCCAGGTTGCACCAATGGTATCAGCACGGCTGGCGTGTCGCACCACACCGAAGCACTGGACCTCTAAACGTCGGCTGCTCCAATCGCTGGCTTTGTGCAGCCTCGCCTTCGGGCACGAGATCTCCTCCGGTACATCCGGCTCGAGGCGTCCATGTAAGCTGCCCATTTCTTCCCCCTTTTGAGCCAAGTCCAGGAGGGTCCAGGTCATGAAAAAAAAAAATATATATATATATAAATACATATGAGGCTGCAATATCAGTAATATGAGGCTTGAGGATGTTTCAGGAATGACGATGAGACAACTGACACATGATGGCACTGCAATGCCCATATTCCAAACCTGAAATGTGTTGAAACAGAAGCAGTTTGAGCCAGTCAAAAAGTCAACAAATCCCCAGGAGTTCTTGGTGTCCCCAGCTCGCCTCCAAGCAGAGCTGCTGCGTTTCACAGTTCCTTAAGATGCGAAGGCACTGTGACGGCCTCCTGATACCACTCTGCAGGAGAAATTTTCATTATTATTGTTGTTATCATTACGTCCGCTTTTGTTTTGGTGATTGCTTCTCTGTTTCTGTTTGTATGTATAAATGAGGAACCACTGCACGGCGAGCGGTAAGAGCCACGTACTAATCTGACTAGCTCCCTCTGAAGCAAATGCATGCACTGCATTTGCATGATTGCAAGGTGCTTCTCAAATGAACCTGATCTGTTTGGTTCTTTATGGTTTCTGCTGGCCAAATACCAACTGCTAAGCCTCTGGGGCCGGCGGCAGGGGGCGTAGCCCCTTTATTATTACAGTATGTATTATTATGTGAGATTCTGACATCACTCTTGGCAGCCAACACGGCCGTATTTTTCTTGTCTTGCTTTGGTGAGGGGGACATTAAAATGTTGTGCAGACAGGAGTCGGCAAGACTTCTCGAGATGCAAAATTGATCCACCCTGAAGCTACTGAGGGGGTAAGATGAATCTGGGAAGTTGTGGCAGCAAAACTTGGCAAAACATAGCAAGACTGTTTTTGAAAATGTTTTGCTTCGAAATATACTCAGTCTAACTTAGAGGTACAGAATGCCAGATCTCCAGTGTTGCGATCCCCAAGCTGAACTCAGCCACTGGCCCTCAAAACAGCCATGTGCACTCGTGAAGAGCCGCTCCCTCATCACACCAGCTATGTGGACGCGCGCACGGAGGATGCTGTTTTTAGGCCTGCGACAGACCGTATCTTCGGATGATCTCATGCACCCGGTGACCCTTTGGTCTTTGACACATGGTGTGATCACCTGCACATCTTGATCATGTTACAATCATGTTTCACATATTTTTCACGTGGTTTCCCGTCTGCACCTCTGCACCATGATGCTGAAGTGACCAGCTTTGTGCATCTTGCCTCATGGTCTGCAGAAGAGTTTTTGGCAAAGGGTTGCAGCAACTCTTTGGAGCTGCGACTTTGCTCACGGCACTTCAAGGAAGCACAAAAGGTCGTGAGCTGTCGGTTCCAGCAGTTCAGATCAGCTCAAGCTGTTCAGCTTGACATCAGCCAAGAGTTGCTAAGAGCATCAAGAGCTGAGCCTGGATATAGCCTAGATAGCCTCAGACAATGTTGATTTGTTTCCCCTAAAATATGCCAAGATGCTTTCGAAGCCAGCTGGGTAGTAGTGCAAGCTGAGGGCACAGCGTCGACTTGACACTGCCTCGCTACTGTCCAGGCCTGAGACGCAACGTCACCTGCACCCTGCTCCTTGAGTCGTGATTGCTTCCGTGACATGTTTCATGTTGATTTAAATGTTTGAAGCATCTAATAGCATCTAGCTGCGCTAGATCATATCACATCACGCAACCGCAAACTCCTTCAGCTAAGGTGCACCACTCGGGGCTCGAGATGCGATCAGCATTCATTGACGTCGCCTGCCAGTGAAAGTTGATCGCCTCTTTCCGAACGAGGCGCACCTCCTGTCGTTCAGCATTGATGAAGAAAAAAGCATATCTTATATAGTATACATTCTGATAAAGTAGAATCTGGAATACATATATGTCTCTATATATGTGTGTGTGTGTGAATCCATATTCAGAAAATGACCTAACTGCACAAACTGCAAGAACGAGACATGAGTTCTCCAGGAAGTCCGTAGAACACAGCTCGGCCAGGCAAACCGTCTCAGGAAGGATGTCGCAGCCGTTGACCAACTGCTGCTTTCTGATGGGTATCCCCTCCTTGTCCTAAGCCCCCGACCCAAATTCGACAACGGTAATCCGAAGACAAGTGTGAAACGATAATTCAAGTCGATACTCAGTTCAAATCCAGAGAATATATAATATGAAAAAGTTGGAGTGAAGTTTTTGTCCACTCTGTCAAAGGCTTCCAAAGTTCAAACCTCTGGCCACCCCAAGCATACTGCTACAGAGTTTCTCGCAAACGCATTTTCACATCGTGAACCTTAGCAAACCACAATCTGCCCAAAATTGCCCAGTCCAGAGTAAAGCTATCTCGAATCCAGTGAACGCGAAAAGAATAGAACTTTCAATGTGTGCAGTCGAGGTACGGTCGAGCATCGGGGCAAAACGAATTCAGCCAGCTGCTCACCGCTCAAGAGACAAACGACCACTGTTAAAGCCGGCTGCTCATCTCTGTCAGTCCGTGGGCTCTCGGTAGCTTCCGTCGAGTCCATGAGGGACGTGAGAAATTGGCAATGGCAAGTTAGAAGTTCAGAAAGTTGTTTTTAAATGTGGGCAAAAATAAGTGGTAAATGTAAATACCCGCGCGAACAGTGGTCGTTGTTTCAGCCTCACTGTTCACTGTTTCTAGTGCAAGCAAGCTTCAAAGGTTCAATCTTTTGTTTGTCTTTTGCGAACGCAAGTAAACTTGACGGCATGCTGGCTGCTAATGTGATTCTGCTGGTGCCTATGCGAAACCGTGCTGTGTATCAAAGTCTTTCAGAAATGATGGTCTTCTTACTTGACTGGCTGTCTCAGTCTGCAGTCTACATGTGCTGAGAAGGGCTTTGCCAAGGGGCTTGCATGTTGCCAAGGAGCAAAGGTGCAAATGAATTCACTAGTGAAACCTCCATTCTAGGTCCAGGTGACCAAAGAAGTCACAGTCACACTGCTTCTGTAACTGGCGCGCTTGGATCCCCAGAAAGCAAACAAGTCCAACATGAATAAACATGACACGTGTCCCTCTCAGTGAGTCGTTCTGATTCTGCGGAGTCCTTGAATTCAGCTTGTAGCTCCCCGTTGCCTCAGCTGCTCGCCATCATCCTTCAACTCAATGCATTCAACGCCTGCTGTGATGGATGTCATGTTGCTCTTTCGATTGTGGCCTATACCTGCCTTGTACGTGCCTTTCGCTCACCCTTTTCCTCCCTGAGGAAATCACGAAAGTGCTTCACCACGTTCCATCCAAGATTGAACAAAGGAAGGCTTTGAAGCGGCCACCACTTTGCCTGCTTGAAGAACGAATAATTGATCACTGCTACATGAGGTGAAATGTATATCATGTACATAATGTATATAATGTATATATGGATCAATGTGGCCAATAAGATCCAATGGCCTGCCATGCTTTGTCTCCCCACCTCTGGAGCCAACAAGAGTTTGCCAAACTCCAAGGCCAGCCTTGGCCGTGAAACAATCTCGCTCGATGAAATGGCGCCGCATCCCATCTATCTTCAGAATTCCATCCATGACATTGCCCAAGGCATTCATTGATCCGAATTTGCAGGTCAGTGGGTAGATCGAGGACTGTGGGCTTGGCAAAAATGCATAGAAATGCTACAGTACTGGAGGTCCTCTCCTTCGCGCTCCAAATCCAAAAGTATCAACTTCATTGAGGGCTGGGTGCAGAGCAGTGCTTGCAGTTCACCATCAGTGAGCCTCACACCAGCCATCAGCAGCACAGGCAACTTCGGTCAAGCCTAAAATCCTCTGATTATCAGTCATACATTACATAAAATTCCATCTCTCTCTAGCCACCTATATACCTCCACGGAATTTGTGAATGTGTATATATATATGTGTATATATATATATATGTGTGTGTGTATATATATATACCCAGTTATATATATATATATATGCAATCAGCCCAGTGACTATCAACGTCCCTCACTACAGGGAAAACCGGTTGGGGTACCCACCTCACCTATGAGGCACGCTCCTCAGGGAGCACGAAGTTGTTTTGGCTTGAGCTTAAGCTATCCCGCCCTGCGGACGCAGGTGTATGTGAAAAGGTCACTCCTGAAAGGGTACCTGACAGGAAAAGAAGGGAATGCAGTTCAGTGCTTGCATCCCATACACTACCTGAGCTTTTCATGTACACAAATTGCTCTAAGATAGTGCATCATACTGTACAAAAGACTCGTCCCACGGCCATCGGTTCTTCTCGGCCATTTTCTTCACTTCGTTGACAAAGAACTGTTCATCTTCTTGGAGTTTTCGTTCAAAAGCTCGTTTGCTCACTTTTCGGCCTGCAGTGAAGCTTGGGTCATCTACCAGCTTCCAGGTCTGTTTCTGCGCGAGGAACTGCCAGAAACATTTTCTATCACCAAACTTTGTCAAGGAGTCAGCAAGCTGTGCTAACCCACAAACCCATCTCAGCGAAGTCTGAGCTTTTCGAGCTTGAAGGATCGACAAGGTAAGTTCATACCCAGCCCGGCTTTCTCGAAGCCCGTGGAGCGCGGACAGGTTGCGAGTGGCCGCGTCGAATACTCCACGTGAGTCCATGATCAGGGCTCCAGGCACGGTTGCTATCTGCTGATGCAATTGGGCTCGATCCAACTGGTTGCCTTTGAGCTCGTAAAGGAGTCCACGGATCTGAAAGTTCTGATCCTCTCCAATGGTGATTGCTTGCACTTCAGCTCCATTTGATCCTAGACATTGACGGGGGGTCTTCCCGCTCTTCCACTGAACAATGGCCACTTGCGCCTCTTGACCGTCCATGATGTAGCGAGGAGCTACGCCAGTGACAATTCCAATCGAACTCGATCGGTCGGGTCGGTTATGGTTGGAGGCGTCAGCCCATGTGATCACGCTCAGTTCGTCCAGGTCAATGTTCCACGCAGGAAAGATCAGCTTTTGTCCAGCTGTTCGTTTCATCTCCCGAACCAGCTTGTTCACCTTGTGCATGGTGGCAACTGATCCTCGATTCACTTCGGACAACAAGAGAGATGTGTCCGCAAGGAACTGGGGAGCAGATTGTGTTGCACGCCAGCTCGTGGTGCCAAGTGCACCTCGGATCAGGCTGATCTCGTGCTTGGTGAGCTCTGCAGTGGGATTGCGTTTTGGGTCTACTTCTATCTCTTCAACCCATTGGTTCACGTAGTGCTCTTGGTCCAGTGTGATCTCATAGTTCTTCTTCTGAATCACCTGACAGCCTGCAAACTCGAAGCCTTGCAGAGCACTTTCCCACTTTCCAAAACGAAACTTTTCTCTCAAGAACTTCTCCGCATTGGCATATGTGGCTGAACCTTCTCGGCCTGCTATGAGAAAGTCGTCAACGTGGATTCCTGCGACACCGCAGATCCGTTGATTGCCCTTCAGCTCCTCCGACTTCTCCAGCAGAACAAAGAGACATCTATCTCCTTTGAGTTGTGTCCAACCAGATTTTACCATGGTTGCTGCAACTGACTCAAACCATTGCCTTGGGGCATGCACTAGCCCGTAAAAGGCTTTCAACACGCGAAGTGCTCTTGGGTCTCGGGGATCGGCACCGAAGTAAACCGCAAGTTCAGGAGGTGCCCAAACCACAAGTTGTTCATCCTCCAAAGACCCATCAGCCTGCAAGAAGGCTGAAGACACATCACCGCTGTATAGTCGCAGTTGTAGTGCAGCAGCAACTGTGAGAAGTAGATTTCTCCCAGCCTTGGACATCGTGGGGCTGGCTGTTTCCACAGACGTTAAGTTGTGCGCCTGATATCCCAGCACCACTAACCTGGCTTTTGCAGTTGCTTCTTCATTTTCACTTGGGGCCTTTTTCCATGTAAGGACCCATCTCATCTGCATAGCCTTGTTCACGTCCAAGTCCTTGAGTTCCTGTTTGGTCAGATTCCTCAAAGCTCTCGACGTTGCTACCTGGTTCAACTCCTTGGCCATCGCCATGTCGAACTTCTGCTTGTCCTCCAGTGAAAGTTGATTCCAGGAGGCTTCACGCCCTTTCTCACTCATCTTGCGACTCAACCAGCATGTTGCTTTTCTCCTCCGAGGGTTCTTGGCCAGGTAGGCAAAGTCGTCCATGGTGACGTCCAGCTCCAGGGCATAGGCAAACTCCTCGTTGAAGTCCTCCGCAAAGAGTTGAGCAGCAGCAGGTTGTCCTTGGTCATCAGGAAGTAGTTCTTCGGATGAGCTTGAAGACAAAGTAGGCGTTGTAGATTTTCCATCATCTCCATCAGCACTCTCCTCCTTGTCGGCCTCCTCCACGATCATCTTCTTGCCGTCGTAGGGGTCGTACAGAAACTTGCCCTCGTCATTCTCGTGTGGTCCGTAGTGGCCTCCAGGGAGTTGACATGTAGGCACAGCGCATTGGTTGGATCCAGAGGCTCCTTGTACTTGTACAGGTAGTCCATCCAAGACGTTGCTGCCATGTCGTTGAAGTGTCTCGTTCAATGTTGATGGTGGGATGGCTTCTCCAGGTACTTCAGGAAGAGCTTCTCGGTCTTGTCCAGAAGCTTCAGGTTGTCCTTCATCTCGAAGTTTTCCTCCAGGCGCATCAGCCAGGTCGGCCTCAATCTCATCTTGTAGATCTTTGGCTTCTTGTTCCGAGCACCTTTTCTGGCCTGTCTTTGGGACATTCTTCCGGACCTTTGCAGGTCTCTCCACACTCTTCATTTCCATCAAGGTTTCTCCGACCCATCGGTCCAACAAACTCTTTTGGACCGAAATGTCGTCCTCAATACGAACTTCATCTCCACCTCCAACAGGACGTAGTACTGTCACACGTTTTCCAGTGAGCTCGTCCATGGAAATGGGACAGGTAGTCAACCTGTATGGTGAAAACAAAGCAAGTCTGGGGAGGTTGTGAATCCTCACCAGAGATTTCACGCCGTTCTCTTCTCGCACGGCCCAAGTGTCAAATTTTGGCCCATCTGCAGCGGCTGGAACTTGAACATCAGTTTGAGAAAGGTCTCCCTCAACACGAGCAGGGCTTGGCACATCGCCACTGACATCCATGTAGAATCGACCCTGAAAGGCTCGCATGAGAGACTCCGTCGTGACTGGCATCCTGTAGATTGCTGTTCCCTCCAGAGATGCTGTGAGTTCTTCTCTTCGGGTCACTGGACGGATTTGGTTGTTCTTGGCTCGAATCAGTGAAGAGCCGGTAGCTAACCACATCGTGCTTCCTTCGACCAGCACGATCCTCAAAGGACCAGTCCATCCGCCTTTGACTTTTCCAGGACGGATCTTTTGACGCCATAGCATGACTAGCTGGCCAGTCTTGAAGGCACCTGGTGGTCGACCTGTAGAGTTGGCCAATTTGGAAAACTTGTCCCGGGCCTTCTCCTTCTCAAACTCGATTTTGGCTCGTTCACGAGCTTTCAAAAGTCCACTGAAGGCCTTTGCTGCATCGAGTCCGTCAGGCAGGGATTCAGAGTGATGGTCCTTGCCATAGACCCATTGATAGGCTGAAAAGCCACTTGACCCAATGTGAGAGTTCATGGCATGGGTCACCATGTCA